TCTCTCTCTCTCTCTCTGTCTGTCTCTCAAAAATAAATAAACATTAAAAAAAATAAAAACTAAAAAAATATCTTTGTGTCCTTAGAACTTAACTCAGTGCCTGGATTACTATATATATTTATTTTCTTTCATTCCCCCCCCCACTGTGTATATTTAAATACATTTTAACCCAATTTAGGAAGTCCTTTCCCCAAAATTCCTCAAGTATCCTACTTCATCCATTCCAGTGGTCTCAAGGTTTCCAAGAAATGAAAAGTAAGGCACAAAATAATTTGGAATCTAAGTCTAAGGATAACCTAACTATATTTCAGAAGTCCAGAGAAAGAGCACAGAGATATCGAAAGATTTCAAGGAAGATGCCATGGAGAAAGTGGGAAAAGAAAAAGAAACTAACATTCAAAGTTTTAGCCCTTTAATTTGTTTTGCTTTCAAAGAAAATGCAACTGTTTAAGAGTACTTTATTATTCAGGCCACAGGAGCTGTCCTCACTGCCCTCACTCTGGAAGTAGAAGTCAGGCTACTAAGTAGGAACACTTTAGTTCATGCTGTGATTAGAATAGACCCAGTGGGCTCCTTTCACCCCAGATATCTCCTGCCCAATCTATCACCCTGCCTCCAATTCCACCAATAGAGATTTACTGCTTTTAGTCTTCAAGGTTTAAGATCTTTTAAAGCCTCCCATTAAAATGCAAATACCCCTGGTGGTGATAACACCCTAAAGCCATCAACTAACACCCTACTGAGGATTAGTTTACAATTAGAAGAAAACACAGTTTTGAGATATTTACACAAAGAATGGAGGGGACTGGAAGGAAAAATTTGGAAGGATAGTCAAGTCACTTATCCTTTTGCCTAAGTAAGACCACTAGAACCTATCCTTGGAGTTATACACAACTTCCTGGCAGAGGGGAAGTTAGAAGGTTGATTTATTGACAAGACTTTTCTTCCATCCCTTTAAGACCTACAGTTCTGTTGAGTCCCCTTATTGATGGGTTTGTCATTTTACCTTTACTGCAGTCTTAGTCACTAACTGCCAAAGGTTTGTCTCTAGGGAAGATAACCTAATTGTAAAATACTTGAATATTTAAATTACTTTCAACAGATCTTTAGGGAAATTCCAAGAGAACCCATGTAGTAGTACTGTGGCCTTCTGGCCACACTGGTATTGTCTTGATAACTCTATCTTTAAAGACTGGCTCTACCAATTTTTTAGAAGGTGTGGCCCTGATCAAGCCACAAGTTAGGATTAACTGCTCAAAACATCTGATTAAATCATGATTTTTTTTTTTAAGTGGAAATGTATACTTTGTAAGAAATAAGTTAT